AGGCAACATTCTTCCACTGACTCTGTAATGAAATGGTGCCGCAGCTTGGTGTGAATAATCATAATGCTGTCTTTCAGATAAGAGGTAAAACTAAGATTATGACCACTTGTGGTCATTAAAGAGCCTATGGCACTTTTTGCAAGTGTAGGAGTGCCTGTCCTGGCCAAATACCAACCTAGGTAATTACATCCTGCCTACTTACATTCCCCTGTTGCTTTAATTGGATACGGTATTATTTTTCTATTCTTCTGTAAAAATGGATTCCATGGCCCCTCCTTGAGCTGCCCTTGGCCTACTTCTTTCATGATCTCATGCATTAGCCTATGTTGGGCGAGCACAGGAACTCACTTGGTGTTGCATAGGCAGCCCTACATGGCCACGTAGCTCCTTTGTGGGATTTAAGTGACATGGAGGATATTGTGCTTGTTCTTTGCACTAGGTACCTGATCCAAAGCCTGTGGAAATCAAGGAGAATCTTTCCATTGATTTCAGTGGGATTTGAATAAGCCCCTAGATCTGAACTGTGTCCTTCATCAATTAAAATTGTTGTTCAAAGTCATCTGTGGCACACATACATAGTTATAATAATTCATTTCATTATTCTGTCAAAGACCTCTTAATAAACAATATTTGTTTTGTTATGAAAACAATTCCCTTGGGGCTACATTTAGCACTCTTGAATGTGTCAAAACTCTCATTGTCTTTGGGTTTGTCTACATGAACATTTAGTTTGCTTCAAGCTGGGGTATAAATCTACCTTGCACTAGCCTGCTGCACACTTGTGGACCCTGTTGTTGTGCACTCAGTTTCTCAGTGCACTTGAATCGGGATCAAAGTGCACGAAGGAACTATTAGTGAGAGTCAGCAGGGTCCACACTCCATGTGTGGCACGCAAGTGCGAGATAGATTCATATTCCAGATTGCCGCAAACTAAATATTCATGTAGATAAGCCCACCCGCTCACAGGGAAGTCAATAGCAAAACATCAATATTCTTCAGCAAGGGCAGGATTAGGCCACTCAGGGAATGTTTACGCTGCAATAAAACACCTGTGGCTGGCCCAGGTCAGCTGACTCAGGCTCGTGGGTCTCGGGCTGCGGGGTTATAAAACTGAAATGTAGGCGTTTGTGCTCTGGCTGGAGCCCGGGTTCTGGGACCCTCTCCCCTTGAAGGGTCTCTGAGCCCATGTTCCAGCCCAAGCCCAAACATCTACACTGAAATTTTATAGCCCTGCAGCCTGATCCCCACGAGTTCGAGTCATCTGATCCAGGCCAGCCAGGGGTGTTTTACTGCAGTGTAGACCTACCCTTGGTGGGAGATTTGGCAAAGTAACGAATGAGCCAGGAATACGTGATAGAGGGCAGTTTTTTTCCTCCTCAATTTGAAACCTGTGAAAAACATAATTAATGCATACTGCATTGAACAAAGAACATGCATATTCTTTTAAATCACTTACAGCATACTTTTTTTTTATAGAGGGTGAACAGATGGTTAAAAGCTTGCTTGAAAGTGATGTGTCCATTAAAACAACCCGTGTTACTATGTGATTGTTCACTGTAACAGGGATTTGCTTCATTGAAGTAAATTGGAAGGAAACCAGACTTCAGAAAACCTTCATTACAGGGATCAACTATTTTGTAGTAAAATGTACTGCTGTTCACAAATCTAATAAAAACAAATGAGTTAGCAACACTTTTTCTTATAAAAGTAGTCTGTTAATAGGATGGGTACTGCGCTCACTAATTTAATTCTGCATCAGGGTTGTCAATTTTAATTATTTTCTGCAAATCTGATTTTTCCTTTGCTCCAGTTATCCTCTAAACTTTCATGTTCAAAATTCACTTGATCTTTCTGGCTTGATTCTACGCTGTGTTGATTTCATGTGTTTTTTGGGGGTGAGGGAAGAGATTAAAATGTTTTTCTTGCTGAATTTTTGAAGGTCAAAGAGTTTTCTAAGGCTGCTTCACTCGCTGAGTGGCAAGTCTCCGAAGACATCAAATATTGAGTTTTTATAAACTTGTTTTCATGAGGAAAGAATTCCCTAAGGGAGTTACTACTAAACCTGTGCATTGCATAGCTCATATACAACAATTGCACTAACATGGACATCTTCCTACCAAATTATTCCAGAGGTAAGATGACTTAGGTCCAAATTTTCAAAAATAGGTGCCCAAATTAGGCCCCTAAATCCACCAGGCATCAAAATAAGAGACCTGATTTTCAAAAGCACTGAACACCCCACAGCTTCCATTGAAGTCAATGAGTTACATGACATAAGGACTGAAAAACTACAAATCTGTTCAAGTTTTGTTCCCATCTACCTCCTACCTGCATTATATCCAGTGGCATCATTAATAAGCAAAATGGTTTGCTCCTTCAGCACGGCATCAATTTTCATTGAAAATATTTTCCCTTTGCAGTAAATTGGTTTTGCCATTCCCCCTTTGACATATAAATAATTGAAAAGTTTTTAAAGTAATTATCAAGGACTAGATGGTCTCAGAATTGCCAACACACATTCTTCAAAAATCGTAAGTCAGGGCCCTCAAAGTCATGAGATTGGTTTAAAAATCATGACTTTAAAATATGTTTAGCGTTCTTTATTTACCTTCTGTTTTATGAGCCTTTTTAGGTTCATGTTTTCAATATGTTCTTCACAAGGTAGGGGCTAGAACCTTTTTAAACAATGAAAACTGAGACTTGTCATGTATGAGCACTATTGTGAGTGCTGGAGCTCTGAGGAAAAACAAAAATATCATCAGACTCACTATAAAACTGCAAGTGTAAGTGAGGAAGAGGTGGGAGGGTGCAATGAGTCTTCTGCTCTTCTCTTCCTTGTGTGCAGGGAGTGGTACAGTGACTCCTCATTTAAAGTCGTTGTTACGTTGCTGATCATTAGGGAACATGCTAGTTTAGAGTTGTGCAATGCTCCCTTCTAACGTTGTTTGGCAGCCGCCTGCTTTGTTTACTGCTTGCAGGAAGAGCAGCCCGTTGCAGCTAGCTGGTGGGGGCTTGGAACCAGGGTGGACCGGCAGCCCCCCTTATCAGCTCCCTGCTCTCCTAAGTTCCCTGTGCAATAGCTGCCTGCAGTTCAGCTGTATCCCTCCCCCCACTGCCATGTGCTGCTCCTGCCCTCTGCCTTGGAGTTGCCCGGCGGGGCGGTTGGGGGGGGGGGGGGGGGGGGGGGGGGGAGGAGGGAAGGAAGAGAGGGGGTAATGTCAGGGTGTGCCCCTCCCTCCTGCTCCTGCACCCCATCTTCCACAGAGCAGGGGGGACACACCAGGGCTCAAGAGGGCTCAGCAAGCTGATCTAATTAACAAGGCAATGTACGTAAGGGAAATGCGCGTATTTCCCTCCATTCCTGCTGCCTTGTGTAGAGAGAGAGTTAACCCATGAGGGCTCAGCCAATTGCTAGTTCATCATTTAGCAGTAAGGAAAATATCCCACCCTCTGACTCCTCCACCGCAACCAAGCTTCACAATCATCACTGTGTACCAGTATTAAATTGTTTGTTTAAAACTTACACTGTGTGTGTGTGTATATATATATATAGAGAGAGAGAGAGAGAGAGAGAGATAGTCTTTTGTCTGGTGAAAAAAATTTCCCTGGAACCTAACCCCCTCATTTACATTAATTCTTATGGGGAAATTGGATTTGCTTAACATCGTTTCGCTTAAAGTCACTTTTTCAGGAACATAACTACAACGTTAAGTGAGGAGTTACTGTACTAAACACAGTCCTTCAACTCCCAGCACATAAGGATTGGGTAAACTTTGCCCCACAATGCATCGGGCAAGGGCCCCCTTCCACACTGGCCAGGCAGAAAGGAGACAATTGCCAACTCTAAAAGGGTATAGTGGCAGGTGCTGTTGCATGTTCCCTCAGTGTTCCAGTGTGCACCTGCACATCTCTGCTGTAGCCTCCCCAAAAATACAGAGACTGAGTTACAGCCTTCCTTTTTTAGAACAACCAGAGAAGAAAACAGATTGCAAAGCAGGGGCCAGCTTGTGGTACCTGTATTCATGTTGGGTATATTACCTTACCAGTATATTGTGCAAAGGAGTTGAGGACGTTTAAGGTGCTCCCTTATTGCCTTGCACTCTACCACTACTTCCTGTGTACGGGGGACTGCAGGCTCTGCACAGGTAGTTGGGGGGGTGGGGGGAGGAGAGAGTGTGTTGATGCTGCTTCTTCAACACACCCAGCAACGTGGGGCTCCCCCCCAGTGCCTTGGGGAGCTTGTGCTGCATCCTAAAATAGTCTATGCCCTGGGCAGAGTAGTAGGGAGACTATAACTCTGAATCAGGGGCAGTGCAACGGCTTGCTGACTGTGGGCCAGATGATCCCAAGTCACCTAGCCCCGTGTAAGTAGTGCCATTGATGTCAGGGAGCAAGGCACTACTCAACCCGAGTAAAAGTGGCATGAGGGGGAGAGAAAGAGAGAGAGGGTTTGTAAATATGAGCAAATGCAGCCCCCAGGTGTGTAATTGCTCAGTAGTTAACCCCTGCAATCCTTGCTCAGGCAGAGCTGCTATTGGAGTTAATGGGAGTGAGGGCTGCAGGCCTGAGCCCCGGGGAAGAGGGAAGGTCCCGCGGGGGAGGGAGAGTTTGGGTTATGCCTTGACACCTGGGAGACGGGTGCTCTCCTCTCGCTAGCCTGTGCGTGTGCAAGCAGCAGCGCTGCCCGGCGGGCACAGGGACAGCGGTGACGGCAGGAGCGGCGGAGGGTTCCGGGTTCGACCCAGCGCCCGGGGGGCGCTGCTGGGGCAGCAGCACGTGTGCGCGCCGCGCCGGGGCGAGAGCGGGTGTGAGGCTCAGGAGCAAGCCCCGCTCTGCACGCTGCCCGGTAAGCTCACCAGATACCCACGCGAGAAAACAACCAATGGCAACATGCAGCTCCCGGGGCTGCAGTAAACACGGTCACAGGCTCAGCCCCCCGGCCCCGAGCTGTTACTGCACCCTTGGCCCGGCTGCCTGCACAAGTGCAAAGCAGCGCCCGGGGCGGGGTTGTATCGCGTGCTCCCCTCCCGCTTTGGGAAACCAGCACCCCATTGGGGTTCCTCTTTGTGAAGTAGTTTTCTGTGTGTGTGTGTGAGGGGGCAACCAGTTGCACGCCCTAAAGTGAGGAGAGTGGTTACTTTTTCCCTTGCCAGTCCCCCTCCTCCCTCTCAATCCCGTTTGCTCTCGGTTGCGGTGTGTGGCGAAGAGGGGGAGGGAGAGCCGTGGAGGGGGATGTCCTCTTGTTTTGCCGGAGGAGCAGCGCAAAGGGGGAACCTCGACTTGAAGAAGGGGCGAGAATCAACAACCCGGGAGCAGCCCGAACAGAAAGGTAGCGGCGTGTCCCCGAGCCAGGAGGTGAGTGTCGCTGCTCCGCTCCCCTTCCCACGTCGCCCCCTGTGTGTTTGTGTGTGCGCGCCTCGGGGTTAGTACTGAGCCTTGGTTTCTTCTTTTTGAACCGGCTGCCGCGAGACGCGGCAGAGATCCCCGGGAGCAGCGGCTGATGGCTCTGAGCCCTGCTGGGCACCGAGACTGGGGCTTGTCCAAACCCAAGCGAGTAGCCCCCTTTCTCTCGGCAGGGGGAGAGATCCTCGCTGACTTCTGCTCGCGCCTTTGGCCAGGCTTTTCTGCCCCGCTCCAGGTGACCGGGGCTTGCGTTTCGCCCCCACCCTCCGATCTGCTCTCCCTGGAGCTGGCTAAGCCCCGAGCCGTGCGGGGGTTGCCCTGTTCCGATGCAGTTCGCTAGCCCTGGGCTCTGTAGCCGGAACCGCAGAGCGGTGATGCTGGAATGAGTGTATAGAAGGAAACTCACCAGCCTTTTCTTGTCACCCCCTTAGTGCCGCTTTGCAGGCGATTTTATTTTCTCTTTCAAGGAACCTCCTCCCCGCCTTGAGGAAGTTTTGTGCTTAGTAGTCAGTGAGACATACGCGGCCGAGTTTGGGTGTCATCGCTGCTAGGGCAGGAAATGTAGAAGAGGTGGTCAGAGACTGAAATTCAACGAGTTTTCTGGAGGTTTGTTGTGGTAACTTGACTAGCGAATCCTGCCAGCAACCTGAACATGCAGCATGAGTTTTGTAGGATAACAAACCTTGGGGGGAGGGGGAAGTTTCCTTAATTTATGGCAGCTTTTGTAAGAACATGCTTAGCTTTCAGCACTGTAAAAACGCAGATGGTTCAATCTGGTCTGGAAAATATGCCCTTTTGTTCAGTTGTACATCCTATGCCATGCAACTTCCAAACTCCCTCCTACCCCCCAGACTCTAGCAGTATTTAAATCGACTTTCCTTTCTTAATAAAGAACGTTTACAGTTTGCAGCCATTAGAAAATATCTGATGTGGGACCGTCTCGTTTCACACTGGCAATAAAATAAGGAAACCATCGTAATTTCTGCAGCCTCTTTCGCAGTATTTGGAGGGAGTGGGGACCCAGGGCTCTCTTGTTTTTGTTTCTCTCCCATTTTCTTTCTCTAGGGGAATATAGATATGAATGAAATATTGGTTTTCTTGTGGTTTAAAGCCAGACACAACCGTGTGTTCTTCCTCCCCCGTTCCCGCTAACTCTCCACTGTAGACGAAGACACGGGAATCGTAGCCCTAACCTAGTGGGGTCTAGTTGTTCCGCCTAGGTGCATCAGCACCGCATGCAGGGGCTTGTGTTTTGGTTTGAAAGCACTTCCACGTGGAGGAGAGTCTGTGTGTGTTTGTACTTAATCTGAGGTGGTAACAGGATTCTCCGTGTTTAAACCCAATGGGCTGTTGGCCATTAATTTGCCTCTCTGGCTGTCATTACGGACACTTCCAAAATCTGATACCTAAGAAAAACTGCAGGTTAGATTTCACATTAAGGACTCGTAGTTAAGTTTTGTTTCACCTCCTCTGTCTTTTTTTGGCGCGGCACATAGCATCCACTTAATCAATAGAGAGGAATATTAGTGGGGTCTGGCAATTAAACCCAAAGTCTCTTTGACTTTTTATTTTTAAGCAAAGGCGACTGTTTGCAGTGCTTATGTTTGTGTCCACTGCGGTGTCATGCAGTGTAAGGGGTTAGGTGACAGCCAGTCTTAAGCATTTTTAACAGAAGTGAAAGAGATCCCAGGATAGAGTCGCTGCCAGTCAGTAATTGGCATCTAAAGTTTCATTTACATTTATGAAACTGACTACTATTAAAAACCAAGTAGATACATTGTTGTTTTTCCGTAATCTTGTGAGCAAGATTCAAAGGAAAGCACAAGGAGATACGTACGTACATACATACATACATAAATTTTGTTTTTTGGTCTAGTAATAGGTATTTTACATTGCATAGATCCGATTTAGGTAGGGATATCTAAAAAAACAGAGAGCATTTTAGGTCATTTGAATTTAAACATTTTAAATAATGAAATTGTTTTGCATTGAAATTCATATAGATTTTAATTTAAGGTCTGATTTGCACATATAAAATAGTAGAAGCAGTAATATATGCAGACTAATTAAAATATATTTAACAAAGTAATAGACAATTCAGAATTACATTGACATTTACTGAGAAGTATATTTTCACCATATACAGTTATAAATGAAGCATTTTTATCTGATTTCTGTTCTCAATTTGATGCTATCTTTCACTGTATTATATATATCTTTTTATGTATTAAAGATTTGGATATAGCATAATTTCAGTTTCCAAATACAAGTTAATAGTGTTTTGTTGTATGTTCAACATTTTTCTTTGATTTCTTAACACAACTCATCACTTCTTAGTGACCATGTAAATCAAAATCTTAAAATCACTGTAGACTTTCCACTTTTTTTCCATGCAGTGCACCCATACAATGCTGCAGAATGTAGATCTTTACATACCTACAACTTATGTTGTACTATAAATGATATCAAATAAGTGGAAATACAAATGGACACCTTCCACCCCTTCTTCCAGTACATTTTAACATTTAGTGTTATCAGGGCTAAATCTAAAACAAACACATTTAAAAAAAAAAATCTTTCCTGTTTTGTTTTCTGGATGCTGGCATTCATGTTACCACCTGTTTTTTAATTAATTGTAGTATCTTAAAAGGAAAATACAAGGTGAAAATGTCAAATAGTTACTTGTTCAAATGATATGTGCACAGTTATAAAAATAAATGTTAAAATATGTATCTTTTGGATTGTTAAATTATACTATTATATTCAGTTGAATCATATGCTTAGAGGACTCTTTTATGCAGTAATGGCTTACAGCACATTACTACTCTTCTGCAATAGAAATTTATTCTGATATTAGTGACTGAGAGATCATGGACAAAGTTATAGAACAGGTTCCCACTATCACTGAGTTCCAGTGTTACTCATACTACATAAAATGTATTGTGCATGAGCATTTGAAATACAGAAAGACAATGTCCTATTGCATATTTTCAGCCTCTTATTCAAGCTTTGAAAGCTACTGTTAAGTTGTTTGGTCTTGTGTACCTTAGTTTTACTTTACAGTATTATAATAAAGAACTTTTATGTATCAGAATTTGGTTGAGAATGGGCAAAGATAATTATGCACTTTTGACAAGAGTTTATTGTATTGAACAGTGTTCATTCTATTTTTCAGGTAATGTAAACTACTTTTTTCTGTTTAATATGAAATTCAGTCAAGGAATTCTCCCTCCCCCCCCCCCCCCCCCAAAAAAAATTATATCTGTCAAGTGCTGTAGAAAGAAAATACTAATTATTTATGTGTTATCTTTTTCTGTTTTGAAAGTGAGGATTTTATGAACTCTGGGTAAAACCAGTCTCCCTTTTTATAAAGGATAGTTTATTCAGTGTAGTTCTACATTGCAGCTGCTGATCATATTTCATAGAGCTGTTAAAGCACTTAAAACCTAAAATTAGGTACCGTCTGGTAGTAAATATTTCAAATCACTCCTGGAAGAAATAAATAGAAAAGTGTGCTTTCAAAATATGACATTTTAAAGTCTGTAATCTTACAAAAGCAATCATGCTTTGGTTTTATTAAAAATAATATGCTTACAACTTAAACTATACACAAAATGTGTTTTTAATTTTCTTAATCTCTTCTGAACTATCACCATATAGAAATCTTAAACTAATTGTGTATGAGACCATAATTAGGTATTTTGATACAGCAGACAATGCTTGAACAAAGTGTACCAAGAGGCATCCAAATGAATTTCTAACATACCTGTATCTCCACTTATTATTTCTTACTGGGCTTAGAAGTGAAATGTATATTCAGTTGCTTGTTGACATGAAAGTTTATGTAGGGCATTTAATAACAGAAAGTATAAAACTTACTTTTTTTTTTATCCAGACCTGTAATCAGCTGTTTTATATAACTGTATTCAATTCTTATATTTTGCTTTTGTTTTATAGTAGTTATTTTGTTTTCAGTTGGGAACATGGAGCCAAGCTCACCTTTCCATTCATCATAATATAGTTTGGATTTTCCAAAAGAATGTAACCCAGACAGAAGAAGTGAATGATTTGCAGATAGTTGTCAAGTGTTTTTAAAGCTTTATAAAAGCCTAGCAATAAACCAGGGTTAGTAGCAGCACCATATGTACTAAAATGCCTTATGATGATGCCCTAGGTTTTACTGCATAGTTCAATGTTCCCTGTGATTTCTGGCCATCTCAGAGTACACGTTTATTGTGACTGCAGAAACAATTTATTTCAATTAATAAATGTTTTAAAAATTGTTCAACAGAAAAACAGCTCAGATACCATGTGAATTAAAGATGATGTTTAACATTTTGGTGGTTGTTTTAAAAGTTTGTAAGTAAATGTGAAAAATGTGATATTAAAAGCAGTTTCATGATAGGCAGTTTTCTTTTTTAGTTTTAGATATTGTATAAATGTGAGTCCAACTGTAACCTTTCCTGTCATTGAAAAGCGCTAATTGATCTTGCGGACCCTGACATAATAATATAGTTTGATATTTGAAACCATTCAGCTTTGGCATGGCCCTTTAATCACCCCTGAGATTTCAGACATGGTTCTGCTGAAGACATAAAACTATTCCCCTTTTTGAAATCAAATAAAAATGGTTTTTAAAACTAAACTTTGTATGTGTTTTTTTCCTTTTGAAGTCAGTGGGCGTTTTGCCTGCCTAAACTCTGAACCTGACTGTTTAATTAGACTTTATAGTCTGCAGTTAAAAATACTGTTACTTGTATTTACATGTGTTTTATAATGGTGTCATTTTAGATATTAATATATAGAGATCGGTTGTTGGGTTTTTTTGTGCAAGAGATTTTTGGCCAAGTCCATACTTCTATCTGAATATCAAATTAAATCAGAAGTGCTTAAAGAAACCTGGGTCCATCTTACTTATAGCAATGTGAAAGCTCAAATGTGAGGAGCACATA